ATATATCAGACTCTTAGTTGATTAGCCTCTCTATGCGCGCGCGCACATGATGAACGTGAAGAAATAAAAAGTCAAGAATAAAAAGGGAGGAGAAGAGAAACAAAACATTGGATTCCTTATACATACATACATACATACATACATATATATTAAGAGCACTCAATTCGCTTTCTTTCTTCTATTCAGATTTCTTTCTTTTTTGTTGTCACCACAACATAGCAAATAATAAATGAATATGATATGAAATTTACTTGATTTTTCTTATATTCTTGTATAGATAATTCAAATAATTGAGCATTTGATAAACCAAGTCCACAAAATGTTAGATAATTACGGAAGACCTAGAAAAAAGTATTTTTTTTTCATCGTTAAAATAGAAAATTTTTATTCTAAACTTACATTTATATCTTTCGATGTAAATTCATGTGTACCAGTTTTTTTATTAATTATTTGTGCAATACCAATAACAACATTATCGCGATTTAAAATAGGCATACAACATATTGAATGTGTTCTATAACCTGTTTTATTATCAACTTCTTTATTAAATCTTGGATCCTATTAAAAAGAACAAAAAAGAAAAGTATGAAAAAAAAAAAGAAATATTTTTCTTTCAAAATTCTGTTGTCAATACATCAATAGAGAACAAAAGTGCATGTGATTACATCAAAAGTATCGTACACAATTGTAGGCATACTCAAATTTATTGTTGATACGAACAAATCAAATCAACCATTCTTTTTTTCGCTAAATTTAATCATATCAATATGGTCAAACATAAATCTTATACAGATGTTAAACAAAATATGGCTGAATATAAAATGCGTACAGCTTATGTAACACCAATACAAATTCATCGATTAACTACCAATCTAGACAGTCCTCGTTCGGCGCGTCAACATGTTCATTCTGACCGAAGCCATACAAAAGCTTATGCACCAAAAGCGTCAAATCATCCAGAAGAACATATTAATCAAAATACACAAATGCAACAAACTCCTCAAACTCAAACTCAATTAAATAATCATAATCATGAAACCATACTACCACCAATAATATCACCACCAACAGCAGCAACTACAACTACAACTACAACAGCAACAACGAAAAAAAAAAGTAGTTGTACAATTCTATAAATATATTCTGATAAATGATTTTCTGCGTGATTTTCAACCATAAAAAAAAAGCCAATTCTTTTTATCATTTTCCATGCATAGAAAAGTTTTACATACATCATTCTTTCCTCAGGCAAAAAAAAGAATTACATGTATTCTATAACATTAACAGCTTTTAGAACAAGAGAGATTATAAGTGGCTTCGAAATTGAATAAACGAACACTATTTACAGTTGTTATGACCACCTATAACATGTGTTTTTGGTACTAGAGAATGAATGAATTCAAATAATTATATAATTTAATAAAGATTAAGAAATAAGCTGTAGGAGCTTTTCAATTAATAATTACAGTTATCATGAAATGATTTTTATACGGTAAAAATCTTTACATATTGCCCGAGACAAAAAAAAATAGAAATATCATTCATTTTCGAAAATAATAAGCAATGTCGATAAATAGAATAATATAAACTTAATTTGAAATCGTCTATTATGGACGACAAAAGGAGAGGAAATAGTTTTTCAGCGATAAATATAATTAATATTAGATACTATTGTATTTTTTTCTCCCTAGAAAAAAATTTCTTATTATCAACAAGTTACACATAGAATTTTAAAACGATGTCGAGGTCTATTTTTCTCTTATTGAAATATGTATGTAAAGATTTACCTCGTAAGCATCAGGAATATTAATATATTCTCTTGTTGAAGCAACATGTCCAGCAATACCTTTCCCGAATGGTATTATAATTTGTTGATCTTCATTATGAAGTGATTGTTCAAGTGTTGAACCAGCTGTAACATCAAATAATTTTGAAACAAGATATCGAGCATCTTTAGGACCACGTGCTAAAAATAAACTTCCACGATCAGAATTTGTTAATATCGATACATTTGTTAAAATTTTATGACAAACAATATCAACATTTAATTCATTTGCAATATCACGTATAAGTTCAAAAAATAAATCATTTTCATCTAAATTCATATAATCAACATATTGATGTTTTGGTGATGTTGAATGTTTTGCTATACGATGACCTTGAATAATGTTATTAAACATTTCATGTGTAACTGATGCACGTGGTTTAGTTAAATAGCCATGATGTTCTTTTATACGAATACAATCAGTTAATAAATCATTTGTTGCATTATCTTTAAACCATCTTTTAACAAAATTTGGTTTACGAGCTAAATATCGTGTAACCATATCTTCAGTTATTGATTGTTCTGAACTTTCAGATGTCCCGCCGCCACTTGGTGGTCTATACATTTTTCTTTGACTCTAAATGAAGAAAAAAAAAGGTTAAGAATTTTGCTTAGACAGCGTTAAGAGGATATAAGCTCGATAGAGAAGATTTTTTAATACTTGAATGAATCTATTCGTTGATTTTCTAATTAATAATCAGTATCCTGTAAGAAGGTATATGAATTTTTTGGATTAATTTAAAAATATAGAAAGAAGATATTAGAGAAATATAAGACGTGAAAGAGTAGATATTACATAAGCATTTTCTCTCTCTCTTCTAATAATAAATTTCATCAGTAAAAATAAATTTGTTTTCGTGTTTTTTTTTAATAAAATCTTATATTTAATAAAACAATGCTAAAAGCTATCGATAGGGAAAAATTAATATGGAAACATAAATTATTATTTAATCTTTTATCTTTCCCTGAAGATTAATGTTAATTAAAATCTTAAATAATTTATGTCAAAATTTTGAATATAATTTTTCAAATGACATTAACATAGAAAAGAAAAACGTATAAACTAATTAATTACAAATATAACATACTTACTTTATCTAGTTTGAAATTAGATTTTTCCATTTCTATTCATATATTGACTGAACAATGAATAAAAAAAGGAATCTAATAATATAGTATAGTTCTTTTTTTTTTGTTGTTGTTGCTTTGATCTAATTCTCATTCGTCGTCTATTTCTATTTTCTATACTTACAATGCAAATAAAAAGAAAAAAAAGTTATTTCATATATAGTGCGTCAAATCAATGTATTATCATACTTATATGTGTGAATAGTCATTGAATTGGCTATTTTATTATCAAATACGAAAAAAAACAACGCTAATTTAATTTAATAATAAACAAGAAAATATAATTGTCAATCTTAAAATTATATTATTAATCAATTAAATAAAAAAAAACTAATTTCTCTGTTGTTTATTTTTTCACTATATATCTATTAGTTTAGTCCTACTATGTTTATTCAAATGCATCGTCACGTTCACATATCTATTTTTTTCTCTCTTTTCTTTTATATTCACCTTTCCTATTTTAACATCCATTTTAGTAGAGAATAAAAATGATGAATTAATATCGATAATATACACAAATGAAGTTGATTATAATGATACTTATGTTTATTTGTTGATGCATAACATTGTTTCGAAGAAAGTTGATTCTATTATTTATTTAATTCACTTGCACTAAAGAAGGAAAGAAAAACAAATACTATTTCCTTCACTATCTCTTTTAATGTATGTGTGTGTATTTATATAATCTATTTTACACTTCACATTTTATATTCTTTCTTTCTTTCTTCTTTCCTTCTTCTTTTTCTTGTTGCTACAGCGACAAGAATCCGTTGTCATCTTTTTGGATGACGTTAGCACGGTACGATAAGAAAGTAACTCATTCATATAGTTGATTGAACACACGCATGCTATCCAATTTCTTTATATGCACATCACGCATCTATGCGAGTCACATTTATTGTCTCTGTTAGTTTTTGACTAGTAAAATTTGTGTCAAAGAGAAAAACTAACGGAAATTATAGCACTTCATAATATACAATCTTCTTATCTTCACTGATTTGCTTTTTAATTCCTTTGTAAAACAAACTTTTAATACAAAAGAAGACAATACATGACTTTTATAAATTTCTTATTAAGAAGTTTTTTGCTTAAATTGATAAATTTATTTTAATAAACGTATCTTATTAATAATATCATATATATATATTCTTAAAATAGCATTCCTTCGTGTAAATGATATGAAAATCTAATAGAATATATTTGCGATGAAATACGATCCAATGTTCTAAGGTTTATAGATAAAACGTATTACGTCATGAATAGATTATTCATTGTACTTTTTATTTAGTTTGCTACATGTACAACTTCTTAGTTAAAAGAACATTTTCTCTTTTATAAATTATCGTTAATACAATAGATACGGAATTCAAATTTTTTTGTCAAAAAAAGGATACAGTTAGGCATGTGCCGAGTCTAAATTTTTCGGATCCAAAGTACAAGACTCAGTCATTCACTCACTTTAATCTACGCAAGGCATTTATCAGACCATGTAATATCCCGGGATTTGGTCGTTACTGGGTCCGATGAATGCCTAATATGTATCAAAGTGAATGAATGATTAAGCTTTCCATTTTAGTTCCGGAGATGATCGAATAAGGGTTCGGTATTTTTTACTATTTAAACTATATCAATCACAATCTATGATAATGACGATGTTAGGTGACAACTGTATTTTCGAGTATGTATGTAGAATATTTCTTTTTAAAATCTAGTTGTCTTCGTAAATCAATTGAATTAATGTTATCTCATTATTCTTTTACTCTACTTTTTCTTTCGTGTTAACTGTTTATTCTTGATTACTACTGTCAGTTACTCCTTTTTTTTGTGCAATTAATCCTACAGAATTCATTTCACATATATGTTACTTTACTCTGACGTACCTAAAATTATTCCTAATTGCATCTCTTCTATACGGAATAAATTTTATCCAATCCATTAGTTACTATTTTCATGAATAATAATATATATTTTATGAATAACAGAAAATAAATAAATACAAAAATATTTCAAAAATAAAGAAAGAAGCTTCAATATATATATATATTATTTATGACAATATAGTTTCATTCATTTGTTGTGATACAACAAATAAATAAACAGTTTGTGTTCTATGAATTAAATGAAATAGATATTCTATTAAATTATGTTTCTGTCCAATTTGTATAGGTTTTCGTAATGTTGAATCTAGATTATAATAAATTCCATTGAGATTTTTAATTGTAAACCAATGTGTACCATTTAAATTAATTAATAAACCAAAATATGAATCCCATGGAAGTTTATCAATTGATTCACCATGATAAATATTTATTTGTCGTACATTAAAACCACAACGATTAATAGCTTCAATTAATATACGTAGATCATAATTTCCTAACCATAATGTTCGATAATCATTAAAAAGTTTTCGTTTATCATATTCACGTACAATACTTTCTAAATGATGATTAGTAAATAATTTTGGAATTTGAAAAAGATTATTTAACGAATGAAGTCCACAACGCATTAAACGTTGTTTTTCATGATATATTGGCTAAAAGATTATTTTATATATATAGAATTTAATAATTTAATAAAAATATCTACTTGATTTGTAATAAGTTTTTGTTTTCTTGCCCATTCATCGGCATCACCATAAGCATTTAATAATGTAGCATAATGAAAATCATCATGTTGTACAGATGAGTCATCATCAATGGAATAAAATCTACCCAAACCTTGATTAAATATTTTTTATTATATTAAAAAATCTTTTATTTATTTAATAATCTCACTTGGATTATGATTAGGAATTTCTTTTAATTCAATTCCATTATAATAATCATTGATAACATCCTATTAAGAAAAAATAAAATAAAAATTTATATATAAATTTTAAATTACATCAAGTTTCCAATTGTATTGATTAAGTAAATCGATAGCATCTTCAATATTCGTTCCTGTTATCTCCTAAGAAAATCTCGAAAACATTTGAATTAAATTTTAAAATAAATCACTTGAAATTTATTGAGAATAACTTCACGAGATTGTGATGTATTTGACAAAGATGTTGCCATTTTTTATTCTTTTCGATATATAATGAGCACAATAAAAACCTCTATTTATTACGCAAATAAATAAAAGAAATACATAGCGACAGAGAAAAAGAAAAAAGAAAAAGAAACATATTATGACACATGCATTTATTCTATTCTATTCTTTTTCTTTTATCGATTCTATGTTACCAAGTATAACAGAATGATAAGAAAATTGATTCATTGTATATAAATCTTATTATTCTTTTTTCTTTCCTACATACTATGTACGTAATACGATGTTATAAGGACATTAGAATTACTATTTATATCGAAATGACATTTATTTTAACATACTTTTCTTTTTAATAAGAGAGATTTCATTTTTTTTTCAAAATCACGCTATGTTGATTAATTAGTTTTAATTAAATTCTTAATATAGATAAATAAGAAAACGAACTTAAAGTTTAATATATATATGTTACTATGTGGTTTTATTATATAGAGAAATTAGTCATTATAGATAAGCTAGACAATATATGGATTGCAGTGGCGGATCTAGGATTTTGGAAGGGGGGGGGAGCGATTTTGGCTAAAAGCTATTTTTGAGTCTAATCGAAGTAGTGTGAACCTATTTTTGCTGTAAAAATCAAAACAAAATTCGGAAGGGGGGGGGGGGCGATCACGCCCTTCCCCTAAATCCTTCGCTGATGGGTTGTATAAATATTGAATTTCATAATAGAATTCGAATTTATTAGAGAGAATAAAGAATACCTAAATGAATGAAAATCTACATGCCTTTCTCCTGGAGTTATAATCATTTACTATTCCTCATAGGTAAGTTTAAGATTTTCATCTAAACTAATTTTGTGTTCATAACGTAGTATTAGATACTATACATGTGATAAAAAGTTTGAATTCAAAATTGAGAAATATTCATTTTTATATTTCAAACGAATCAATTTTTTGAAAATAAAATTTTAATAAAACTTTCTTTTCTTTTTTTTTAATACTAAATTCAAAATGAACAAAAATGAAATTTGCTATATTATCCTTTGTTTTATTACAACAGTTCGTATTCATTATCAGTTAATGTTAATGATGTTTTACGTTTTTTATTTGGTGTTGAACGAAGAAAATCATCACATAGTTGTGCATGTATTGAATCAGATTTTGGAAGTAAATGATGCAGCAATTGACTATGATATAATTGCTGATTTTTTATTATTTTATCTAATTTAATTTGTGTTATATCAGATAATTCTTCTTTTGTTTTTTCTAATTCTTTTCGTAATAATTTTATTTCTTTTTCTTTTGTTTCTTTATAATCTTCAAACTGTTTTTCAAGACATTTATATTTTATGATTAAATTCTCATCTTCTTCTACTTCTCCTTCTTCTTCTTCTTCAATATTCGGAAGTATCTAAAATCAAGAAAAAATTTTCTATTCAGATATTGAAGAAAAACAAATACGATTTAGTTTACGTTTCGATCAGGTTGATCATCAACATCATCTTCTTCCGTTGGAATAAATTTTGTAACATATACTTCTTCATCGTGAATATAATGTGGTCGAGCAACTAGAATGCGATCAACAACATCATAGTCCTACAAAATATAAATTTTTCTTTACAGATAAAATGAATTGATATTTTTACATCATAATCAATTCGACCATTTTCATAATCAAAGTTTTTGATATGACCTAATTTTTGAAAATAATTTCTAAGAATTCGTCTATCATATCTAGTTGAATCTACTACAACTAATCGATTAGTAACAACAAGTCGTTCCGGAATAGTTGCTGTAGTCCGTGATAATGCGCGTTTAACAAATACTTCTTCTCCATTAATTAAATGTGGTCGTTTAGACATAAATTGTATTACAGAACTAGGTGATTGAAATGTAAGAAAAGCAAAACAATGATATACCTTAAGAGAATTTTTAGAATATAATATAGTTTAAATGATGAATATAGAAGAAAATTTATACATTATTATCTTTATCTCGATTTAATGAAAGATCAAGTATTGTACCATATTTTTCACAATATGGACGTAATGATTCTATAGGTACATTGCATAAATTTCCGATAAATAATTGACGACTGAAAAAAACTATGAAGATTTTCATTTTTTTGCAATAAACTTTTCACTTACTCGCCCATTATACTTTATTAAAAAAAATCTTTTAGTATTTATTTTTCATAATACAGTTTTTCTTATTAAGAACAAAAATACCCAAATTTATGTGAATAGGGGAAGAAAATACATTTTAATCGGATGCTTATAATAGAGGATAATTGACTCTAAGCGACATCTGAATCATAAATTTTCTCAATATTCAGATGAAATTATGGTTATTAATTCAACTCTTTCGTTAATATTTTTGATACGTTAAAGTCAGTTGAAATAATGGTAAAAAAAACATGACAGATATCAATATAATAAAGTATGACAGCAAGCCATAATGTTGTTTTTTTACTTCATTTCGAATTAATCTTGAATCTAGTATGACTATATATATATATATACTTCATGTCATCAAATGTAGTTCATGGTACAATTCTCATCAATATAAAGACTGAGTGAGTACACTATAATTTTCCTTTTATTAACTTTTTTAATCTTCCATGTTCGTTCTTAGTGAACCAAAATGCGTCACACTCTTGACATCGATTATTATGATGTATAGATTTATAATTTATTCATATCTTTTTCATTGATTGTTTGTCCGAATGATAACAACTTGAATCAGTATGTTATTTCTGTTATTTACGATTTTAATACTATATATATCTTAGATAATAAAATAGATCTTTTATATATAAATATAACTTTCAAAAATGTAAGTTCAGTACATTTTATTTTTTTTTCTTCACTATAATTATTGTGAAAGAAATATTATATTACAAAATGAAAAATAACATAATTAATTACAATGATTATTAATTTTTGTCATATATAATTTGATTGAGAACAATAACTAATGCCAAAATGAATGCATGATCTTCATTACCAACAATCCCAACGCCATATGTATCAGACAATGAAAAGAATTCTTTGCTTACGACTGCTACCATTTGTCCATCTTTTGTTATTGTAAATGAATGTGCAAAAACAACAAGACCTTCTAATGAATATTGTCCATAAACAGAATTAATTTTAGATTTATGACGACA